ATTCCTCAGCCATAGAACATTGTGAAGAATTGTCACATTGAATTCATGTAGCTTCTTCTGACATTAAAAATGCTTATAGGTGATGGTAAGGTTATCCAGCCCCATTCCTATTCTGTGCAACAAAATTTTAGCCTGTAACTTATTTCCTGGCATATTGGGTTTAGTATCTTACTTAGCTAGAACTTGTTCAGTTTCAAGTGACAGGGAGCAACTCAAAGCCGATTAGGAGAAAGATGCTTCATTATGTCTTATCTTCAGGAGGTCTAACCTCAAACCTAGATCTAGAAATTTAGATGCCAGGATTGGAATGATTTTCACCTTTGATGGTTGTTGACTTGACATCACTATGAAGGAGGTTTTTGCCGAACTGTAGCAACAATGGCTATGCTTACCTTATTATTCAGTTTGTTAGTGCAGGAAAGAGAACCCATTTGAGCCCCCCTGGAAGGATACTGATTGAATATCCTCATCAGTTGTGTTTGGCCCAAATAATGTGCACTCAAGAAAGGAAGAAAGAGTGGGACTGAGGACTCTAGAGGTGGGAAGAGGCAACAACTAAAGGAAAAATGCACAGAAAAAGGAGGAAGAACCAAAGCAGACAAGTCAAGTCTTACTGTGTATTTATAATTGAATGCACCTTAACGATTTTTATGAGGACCCTTGGTAACTAGGTGGTTTCTATTTATTGAAAAGAGAGTTGAAGAAGACGTCTGTGCCGAGTGGCTGCAGTACCTAGAAGGCACTATCTCCTCTGGCCACCCCCTTCCACCAGCCAAGGAAAGCTCTGCTAGGCTTAGTCAACATTTAGAAGGGACAAAATGTTCTGTGTAGTCTACCGTGTGATCTAGGCTGGAGGATCTTTTTTAGGAATGGGTAGACACAATTTTTACAAGTAAACAGCGAGTGGACACAAGGGATTTTACTGACTCCATTAAAGTATCTGGATTACCACCCCTTCTTTCTACCAACTAAAATAGCATTTGGGTCTCAACTCCTTTGCATGCATGCTATACACTGTCCCATTTTCTTCAGCTGGAAAAGGTGGGAACACTGGTTATACATGCTAACTAAAGGCTCTGATCACTGTCTTTCTTCCCCCAAAGTCCTCACCTACTTTTAGCACTGTGTTGCTATCAGAGAATTTAAAATCTTCTTCTGGTTCTACAAGAACTATCTGAATGAAGAGGAGCCTCTGGTAGATAATAAAAGTGATCAGAGCTTGTTGGCAGGCATTTGCTACCAAGGAGATGAAATAAAGCATTTAATTGCTCAGAGACATTTAAAGAGCAATTGGTACTAGGCATTTGCCCAGGTGTGTGTGTGTGTGTGTGTGTGTGTGTGTGTGTGTGTGTCTTTGTGTATGGTGCATTTGAAATCTTAGCTAGTGTTGCTTTTGCCTAAAAAGAATTTCCATTTTTTCCCCTTTGGGGTCTAATGACAAAATCAAAAAGGTCATTAGCACAAAGTATTTGAAAGTTTCTTTTCTTTCCAATCATTTATCTTTGTGACTTCACAGATTCAACAGAAATTCACACATGCCATATTCTAACCACATTGAATTTATTAAAAATTTGCATTTCATAACTAGTATAGCACTGTATCACTATGAAGTAAACTTCACGGAGGATATGGTTTTCATTTGTCTTCTAAACAAAAAGAACAAATTTTTATTTTTAAAAGGACATAGAACTGATGACACGTGGGTGTCTATATATTTCTTTCTGATCTTTTCCTGATTTTTCTATGTGCACGTGCTTCAGTGCAGTGAACAGCTTTCTACTGAAGAGTAGTAAAATATGCCACTGAGACATGCCTTTTTGGCATGAGGATTACTTTGCGCTAAAGGCACTTGAAAAACAGCAGATGCAAGAAGGGCATTCTCATCTCCTCTTTCCTTCCTGCAGACAGAAGTTAAAAACTCCCAAGGGCAGGAAGCTTCTCCCATACCAGGAGAAACATAGCATTGTTCTACTGGGTCACAGCCAAACTTCTGTACCACCTTGTTAAATCATGGTCTTCCTTTAGCTTCTCTAAATAATTTAGGCTATTTCCACAATCATTTCTATTTATTCAAATATAAAATTCTTTTGGTTTTCTACTTCATTTCCTTGCAAAACTGACTGTGTTACATAAAGCTTGCATTAAAGATATATGCTGTTGCTAATCTGTCTCATGGGCTGGGGTGTAGCTCAGTGGTAGAGCATTTGCCTAGTGTATGTGAGACCCTGGATTTCATCCCCAGTATAACAAAAATCAAATTACATTGAAAAAATTCAGTCTGTGTGAATTTAATTATCAGGTCTAGCCAAGGCCATAAGAAAGTAAGGTTTTATCTCCCATGCACAGACTGTGTATAGCCCTCAAATATTTTATGAAACATAGCCCCTCTGAAAAGAAGCATGCTGTAATCAACAACCCTGCCAGGCTCTGTGCAAGGCACTCATCAAACAAGTCTCACGTAATCCCTGGAAGTCAGGATTAGTAGTCTTATATTGTTGATTTGGAAACTGAAACTTGGGATATTAGTAACTTTTGCAAACCTAATCCCCTGATTCCAAAGTGTTGCATGTTCAAGGTCACCATGTCTATGTTCCATGTGTCTGTTTCTCCACTTGTGAAGATAGTAAAATAACATGCATCACAGGATTGTTGTTGAATTAAATGAAATAGTATTGGGAACCACTTGGAATAAGGCCTGGCCCACAGTTACCTTATTAAAAACACTAGCTGCTATAATTTATTAGCAACAGTATTGCCACTGTCACAGTTTCCAGCTATGCAATTGTAGTTTCTAATGTCTTTTTTAAGTGGAATGCAGGGTCTAGGTGACTTCCACATTGCAGTGTCTAACCTTGATTTTAATAAGATCATTTTATGTCCCAATTTTCTCACCTGCATTCTGGATAGAATATAGAAAGGTTGAGACTTAAAACTGGAATCTGTCCTGTTGAGTTTTGAGTAATGACCATCTGCTGTCTGGTGAGGGTGATGCTAGCAGACACTGAAGTTTCCAGTCTTGGGTGATGGCCTGCCTGCAGAAGCTGCATGGTAGTTTTAAGTGAAGACCATAACAAGGGAAAAACTTAAAAACCAGTCTGATGGCTGATGACAGCTCTCTTGTTTTCTATTTCTTTTTTATCTCTTGGCTGCTGAAATTATTTGGCTCATGGTACAACTGATCCTTCTGGAGGGACCTTTTACAGAATTTCAGATTTCAGGGGGCTTCTGTGAACTTAGTACAAATTTCAATTTTCAAGGGAACCGAAGCAGATGAATCTCTCATCGTAAAAGAAATGAACACCATAATGGTGTGTTTTACTTAGTTCATCTCTGTCTCAGTCTGTTATGTGTTCCTGCAAAATAATACCATATAATGGGTAAGTTGGAAATAGCAGGACTTATTTCAGTCATGGCTGTGAAGGTTGGGAGGTCTGAGGTCCAGGTATCACATCTGTTGCAGGCCACTAACTGTATCATAAGATGTGGAAAGCATCAGATAGTGAGAGAATGGCAGAAAAGCTGGACTTCTAGAGATAGACCCACTCTCAACTCATCCCAGAGATGACATTAATTCAGTCATGAGGACACAGTCCTTATGATCTAAGCAGCCCTCACAACACTGTTACATTAGGGACTACATTCCCAACACATGGACTTCAGAGGACACTTCAAAACCAGTAGCCTCTGTAGTTAAGATGATGCTTGATAATATATTGCTGGACCCTGTGTGGAACAGATAGTTTTTATTCTTAGCTTACCAGATTTGAGCATACTTGCATTACAACATGAAATAGATTTTATTTTAGTATTGTAGTTCCCATTATCAGACTGCATTTTCATATTGAATTATATAAACAGAAGTTTTATGCTGCTTACGTTTAATGAAATTTTAATAAGGCTGTGTTTTGTTGCTATTATTCAAATAATGTAATCTGAATTGCTTTCCTCTGAATATATTTGCATTAAAGAAGAAGTCAATTTGATTTAGTTCCTTGAAAAGTTTACCTACTTTCTGGGTAGCTTTAAAGACAGAGGGAAACTGGGTTTCTTCTTTTTCAGTAAATGGAGAAGAAACACGTTTGCTAAGATCTGTAAGCAGGAATGGCAGCAGATTGCTGATGGTTTGAGTTAATGAAATGACTCATTTGGTTATTAGAGTTGCATAATTAAAAACATCTACAAACTGCACACATCACACATTATAAGGGATGATAGCTCTGTGTTCTTTTCTTATTGAGACTTTAAGGCTTATGCATTAAGAAATGTAAGTGATCCGCGTTATTGCAACTCCTGATCACTGATGCTTCAAATTAAATGGCAGTCTCTTGAGAGAGCAAGTTTCTCTGCTGTAACATACTTCTCTAACTTGCTTCTAAAATTGTGGTGGGATCAAGGCAGTTTTCTCAAACATGTCTTCCATAAGGTGAACTCATTTTTACCAAGCTAAAACATGCTATTGGCAGTGCTCTGTCTCGTTTCCTCATAGTCGGGTAGGTGAAGTTTAATGAAGAGAATGTAAGATTGGAAATAGCGGAAGGTCGTGCCTTTGAGAAAAAAATGCCGTAGAGAAATTAGCTGGCCAGGAGTATAAACTCTGACAAGGAAAGGTTCCCAAACGGAATTTCCCAGGTCGTTCTTGTACGCATTTGACGTACAAATAAATGGTTTTTACTTGACTTCCCGTTCTTCCTTTTCACCCCCCGACCCCCATATTTATCCTTTGTGTTCGATTTACAGACGTTCCAGATTTAAAATCTCAGCACAGACTCGAAGACGTGCCTAACACTCCTCACACTTGCTGAAGAGTTTTAATTCTTTTTTTCTATTTATAAGATTTCATATACAGCATTCAATTACACCAAAAAATCTCTCCAAACAGGAGGGTGGCAGTAACCCCCCACACGCATGCGCAGTAGTCTTGCGGCTGCCCTGCCCTCTCAGGTTGACTGACACGTCGCTCCTCCTCTGGGTTGCAGTGCGCAGGCGCCATTGACGCACCACGCAGGCGCACTGACTCCACCCTACAATTCCGGGCTTTTGGCCGTTAGGAGCGCGCTTTGGGGCTGGCGATCTCCGCTCCCAGACGACATGCTGCAGAAGCCGAGGGCCCACGGCCGGCCCTGCGCCCAGGCCGAGCGCGAGTGTGGCGACCCCGGCGAGGAGGCGCCCAGCACGTCCCGAGGCGCGACCGGCTCGTCGCAGGGCTCCCGCGCGTCCCTGGCGGCCCCCGCCATAGGGCAGCGCACCCAGAAGCAGCTGGACCTGAAGGTGGCGGAGCTGGTGCAGTTCCTGCTCATCAAGGACCAGAAGAAGATCCCCATCAAGCGCACAGACATTCTGAAGCACGTGGTGGTGGACTACAGGGACGTGTATTCCACGCTGCTCAAGCTGGCCGCCGAGCGCCTGCAGTACGTGTTCGGGTACAAGCTGGTGGAGCTGGAGCCCAAGAGCAACACCTACATCCTCATCAACTCGCTGGAGCCGGTGGAGGAGGACGCCGAGGTGAGGGGTGACCAGGGCACGCCCACCACGGGCCTGCTGATGATCATCCTGGGGCTCATCTTTATGAAGGGCAACACCATCACCGAGACCGAGGTCTGGGACTTCCTGCGGCGGTTGGGGGTGTACCCCACCAAGAAGCATTTAATTTTCGGAGACCCAAAGAAACTCATTACCGAGGACTTTGTGCGGCAGCGTTACCTGGAGTACCGGAAGATACCCCACACGGATCCTGTGGACTACGAATTACAGTGGGGTCCGCGAACCCACCTGGAAACCAGCAAGATGAAAGTTCTTAAGTTTGTGGCTAAAGTCCATAATCAGGACCCCAAAGACTGGCCAACTCAATACTGTGAGGCTTTGGCAGATGAGGAGAATAGGGCCAGGCCTGCATCTAGTGGTCCAGCCTCATCTTCTTGAAATCTGAGATACATCCTGAGGGCCGCTTGGGACTCCCCAGACCCAGGGTGAAGGACTAGCGAAGAGGAGGTTGGGGGAAGCATGTTTCTGCTAGGCCTAAGTGTATTGTAACTTTAGGTTGTATTGCCAGGGTTTGATGTTTTGTTACGGTTTTGGTTCAAAATTTTCGTTTTGAAACGGATAAAAAGTTTTATTTTACTGTTATTTTTCTTAATAAAGTTTTTGTTTAGCTTTATAAACTTAACTGGAAAATTGTATTGTGATTTCAAACATAAGAAAGAGCATGTGTAAAAAGTAGCCAGTATCTTGGCTAAAAGTCAGTATGTTCTTGGGCCTCTTAGGAGCTTACTCTGTTCCTAATGCCAAAAATGTCGAAAGTATTTGGGAGCTCTTATCTAATCCTTAAAAGATTTTAGGGTTACCTCTTCAGAGGGGAGAATGTTAGAGTAGCAAAAAGCCCCATTAAAACAACAACAACAACAAAATACATGAAGTTATCAGAAAAAAGTGGAGGGGAAGGGAGTGGGCATGGATTTGATCAAAACCCTTATATGCATGTATGAAAATCTCAATAAATTATTTAAATAAAAAGTCACATCCAGCAAGGCTCCATCAATATCCTAGGTCAATGATCCATCTATGGCTAGTTGTTGAATCCCTTCACATATCTAATAAATACTAGGTACTAGGCTAGATAAATGGCTCCGTGGTTAAGAGCACTGGCTGCTCTTGCAGAAGACCCAGATTTAGTTCCCAGAACCCATATTGTGGCTAATAACAATCTGCAGCTCCAGTTTCAGGGGTTCCAATGACTTCTGGGCTCCATGGGTATCACATATGTGGTGCATATGCATGCAGGCAAAAATTCATACCTTAAAAATGAATTTAAAAATTAAAGAGCACAGGCTGGGCGGGGTGGTGCACACCTTTAATCCCAGCATTTGGGAGGCAGAGGCAGGTGGATCTTTGTGAGTTCAAGGCCAGCCTGGTCTTCATAGTTCCAGGCCAGGTGGGGAAAAAAGGAGACCGACCCTGTCCAAAAAAGAAAAAAAAAAAAAAAAAGAAAAAAAAATTAAAGAGCACATGTAAATTCGTTTGATGTCCCCTTTCATAAAAGCAAGGTTGCTGTTCTCTCTTAATGAGCCCAGTTTGTAGGGAAAACTAAAAGTCTTTATAAAATTGAAAATGAAAGAGTTGTTTATATCCTTCAACACTCAATACATATTTTTCCCTATATTATGAGCTTTGTATATGGTTCCAAGCAATGTATATGATGCGTGTTCTCTGAGTAATATTTTTAAATTCATAATTATGACTGTCCACCTGTTGGTTCCACTTAGGGTTTGTTTTTGTTTTTTCCCCCCTTTTTTGCTCTTCCTGTTATAGTAAATACTGTATTTTTGACCATCAGATTTTATGTCAGTCATTTTTCTACTTTTATTGATTTGTAAGAACTCTGAAACGTCTGCAAATCAATTTATTCCTGAATCCAGCTGCAAATAATGTGCACTTTTGTTTTTGTCCTGCAGATTTGATTTTAATGTATCTCAATGATTAGTATTGTAAGTCTACTGTTTTAATTTGCTTTTTAATGTTTCTGACTGTTTTGCCTACATATACATAAGTGAACCCATGCATGCAGTGCCTATGGAGGCCAGAAACCATCGTGTCCCCTGGAACTAGCCACCATGTAGATGCTGGGAACGGAACCCAGGTCCTCTGCAAGAGCAGCCAGTGCTCTTACCCACTAAGCCATCTCTCCAGTCCCTAGTCCTCTGTTTTTTGGATAATGCTTTCAAAAGTTCTCTCTAATCATAATTATGAAGGTATTTTAAAGTTTTCTAATCCTAATTGTAAAGATAATTTCCAGCTATTTTTTTCCCTGAGCGTTCATAGTCTTGATTTTTTTTCCCATTTATGCTTTTATCTGTTTTGCATATGATGTGAGGCATGGATGTGATTTTTGTATTTCTCCTGTTATGGATAACTTGTCACCAATTTTTCATTGTCTTTTCTATACTGATTTATAAGGTCCTGTTTGTTATAGAGCAGTGGCCTCCATGTGATAAATTTATAGCCAGAGCTGGGTAAGTTTATTTGCTGTATGTTTGCTGGCACTATGCTGATGAGGATTCTAAGTTTGCTTCCTAACTCCTACAATTCTTGTATTTCTCCTGTTATGGATAACTTGTCACCAATTTTTCATTGTCTTTTCTATACTGATTTATAAGGTCCTGTTTGTTATAGAGCAGTGGCCTCCATGTGATAGATTTATAGCCAGAGCTGGGTAAGTTTATTTGCTGTATGTTTGCTGGCACTATGCTGATGAGGATTCTAAGTTTGCTTCCTAACTCCTACAATTCTTTTAATGTTTTTTTTTTTTTTCACACTGACTCACTGCTATACCCTGTCGAAAGAAGGAAGTGACAACAGACCTTAGGTTTATTACTGACTCCTTGTTTCTGATTTTTAACATTTACTTTTGCCATTAGTGATATTTGCCGTTAGGTATGTGCTCCCATAGGAACCTTTAATTAATATTCAGTTTCTATTCCTAGCTTAAAATATTTAGAAGAATGTGACTTTTAAATTTATGCTATGGGTATTCATTTGCTACTAAGATTTTTTTCATTATTCTGGTAGATTTTTTTAATAACCAAGCATACTTGCATTCCTGGCAAAACACTCCTTGATGAGGGTTTTTGTTGTTGTTTTTAAATATTTCCCTCCCAAATTTGTAATTTTTCTCTCTTTTGGCATAAAAAGCATTAGACTGTAAGTTTCCTATGTGGCATTGTCATTTCGTTTTTCAGGTTTTGCTGACTCATTTTGAGATAACCTGGAGCTTACAGAAAAGTTTTTGTTTTCTGAAGTGTTTGAATTCATTTTGTTGCCATTTTTTAAGTTTCCATCAATGTGCAAACAGTTTTCCTTGTTCCCACTGATCTTGATTCTAGGCCATTGGTTGGCTGCTCTGCTAGAACAGTCCTTAGTGGGGTTTCACTGCAGTGTTTTCATGATCAAATCTGAATCAGGCATCTTTGGCAGGAATGCAGCAGTGATATATTTTTGGGTGCTATCAGGTGACATACAGTGTCAGTTTGTACTTTGTAATTCTGATCACCAGTCCTAAGGTAGTATTTCAGTTGTTTCTCTCCTGTTGTGTGACACTTCCTGTGGAGACATGAACAAACATCTATTCACCCCAGATAGGGAACCAACAACTGACCAAAGTCCAACTTGGTGAACCAGTTAGTTTTACTGGGGTTTGTAGCTAAAATTCCTTCTGAGGAGGTGTAAACAGCATCTGACCCCTCCTCATTTGGTCCCAAGGAAAAACCGAGGTACGATTTCACCAAATAGTTTATCAGGCTTACAATTTAGTGGATGGGGGTTTCCTTACAGGAGTGTGGGTGCCCCCCCCCCACTAAGACTGCACTGGATAATTGACATCCAAGCATGGATGCATAAAATTACCAGAGACCCTCCCTAAGGTTTCCCCAGCTTGTATACCCTTAGCCTTCCCCACATGCCATGTGCAACTAGGGTCAATTGTTGGTTGGGAGGTGTGGTTGGACTCTTAGAGTCCTGTGACTCTCCTTGTCCCGCCCTTGCTGGGGCTAGATTCTCAGGTAAGGGTCCCATGGCTCTCCCAGCTCCTTCCTGGTCATAAATAGTTAACAAGCTCAGCTGTGCAGATCATAAGCAAGCAGGTGCAACCAAGCTTGGGAAGATGGTGTCTGTAGGAGGACAGTCCTATGCAACAGGGTTACTTACAGGAGTATGGATGAGGAGTTACTTAAAGTAGCAGAAATGACTCAAAGTCAGCTGCATCACCTTTGCTGAAAGTATTAACTGCTAGAAAAGCAGTTTTCTGGTAGAATATTTGGGATCTCTTACGTATAATTTATTGTCTCCAAATAGTGATAATTTGACATCTTCTTTTCCAATTAGTACTTCTTTGGATTCCCTTCTCCTGTCTTACTGCCCTAGCAAGAGTTTTAAGTACCTATTGAAAAGGAGTAGAGTTAGTGGACAGCCCTGTCTGATTCCTGATTGTAATGGGAATGCTTACAGTTTTTCTTGATTTAGAATGCTGTTGCCTGTGGTTTTGTTGTATATAGCTTTAATTATGTTGAAGCATGTTCCTTCCAGTCCAGTTCCCTCTAAGTCTTTTAACATGAATGCATATGTTATTTTGTCAAAGGCCTTTTCTGCATCTGTTGAGATGACCATGTGATTTTTGCTCTGATGTCTGTCATGACTGCCCATCAGTGCAGAACCCTCACAATGCTAATTCGGCTTCCAGGGCATTCGGGGTTTTTGTCCTCCACTAGGGTGTATATTTTCCTCTCTTCCAAATTTATGACTGTGTGTGCATACATGGGTGCGTGTGTTCTTGTGGAGGATGGCAGATGACCTCAGTGGCATTTCTCAGGCACCATGTACTTTTTTTTCAGGAGATATCTTCATTCACTTGGAACCTGCCAGATAGGCTAGGCAGGCTGGTCTGCAGTCCCCAGGGATCATCTTGTCTCCCACATTTCCAGGACAGGAATTGTAAGAACATACTACCATCCCCACTGTTTTTCCTGTGGTTTCTGCTGGAAATTAGTTCTGGTCACAAAGAGACCACCATTCCAATGAGTGTCTACACAAGGCACAACCTTAGTTCTGATCAGAAGGGTGCACAACTCACAAAACAAATGGAAGAGCAGGCACACTGAGCAGGAAATTTGATAGATTTTTATCTTAACACAAGAATACTGTGTCTCTTCCCCATTGGCTAGGGTCTGACCACATAATCTTTATCTGTTGGCTCATTTTCAAAGAATCAGCACAAAGGAAATGAAAATGACTGGGGAAGGACTTGGCAGCTCCAAGCCACAAGTTCCAGAATACAGCAGGGGCTTTTCACAAAGTTTGACAAGGTGGGGGAGATTAAAAGATCTGAATTCTTTCATTTAAAAAGTTAAAATTTGAGGGTCTGGAGAGATGGCTCAGTGGTTAAGAGCACTGACTGCTCTTGTAGAGGACCTAGGTTCAGATCCCAATACCCACATGGCAGCCAACAACCATTTGTAACTCTAGTTCCAGGGAATCCAACTCACTCTTCTGACCTTTGCAGGCACTGCATGACATGGGTGTACTTACATGCAATACACTCATGCACATAAAATAAAAATAATAAATATATATATTTTAAAAAGTTAAAATTTTTTTTGGTCTTTTTGAGACAAGGTCTCCCTGTAGCCCCAGCTGTCCTGGAACTCACTATGTAGACCAGGCTGGCCTTGAACTCACAGAGATCCACCTGCCTCTGCCTCCTAAGTAAAAAGTTAAAATTTTAATTCCTTTTCCTAAACAAATGTTTTACAGCATTTGGC